GGATGCGCTGCGCCGAGGCCTGTCGCGCCGTGTCACCCAGCGGGGCACCCGCACACCGGCCCTGCTCCGCTCCAGCCGGTGTTTTGGCTCCCAAATGGCTGTTTGCGTTTCCCCCAATTTGCCGGAGTTTCTAATTAAGTTGCCACCCAGCCCCTCATCCACCCTGACGCCCGAACTTCCCCGAGTGAAGGCGGCAGCTCGGTAGCAGTTTGGTGTCAGCCTTAATAACACTAATTACCGCACATCAGGCGCCTCGGCGCGGCTCCCGCCCGCTCCGTGCGCGGCGCCCGCAGACAGGGAGCCGAGGGTGGTGCGGATGGGACCCCGCCCGGGGTCGACACCTGCAAGGCAGCGCGTTGCTTGGCCCCTTTCCCCACGCCGGCCCGGCGAGCCCCGCACTCCCCGGAGGGAGTTTTTGCGGAGGGGGAAAAACAGGTTGGCCAAATGTCACATTATATTGTGCGAGTGGCCCATGCCCCCTCCAAAAAACAACCCCCCCAACAGATTGGGTGGGCGGCACATGAACGGACTGATCGCCCCCCCCCCCCCCGCAGTTGGGGGTCGCTGATAGGTGGGCAGCGATCAAAGGAAAATTTTAAAAAAGAACCTGACTACTGCGCCGGCAAACCGTGCGCCTCCCCTCTGAAAATAGGGCTGCCCGGGTCCCGCCGCCCCGGAACAGGCGCACAAGTAAAGCCAGAGGCGAGGAAGGCGAGTCCCTGGGAGAGGAGGGCTGCGCGGTCGCTTGGAATTGCGCGGAATTCACAGGGAAGCGTTTCACACACACCCCGCCCGGTTCGCTACCGCGCGTTTGAGCCGCCCCAGCGGGAGTGCTGGAAAACTTGGCCGCACAGCCGCGGCGGGCGCGCAGATTGCAAATCCAGATCCCAACAGTTTGTCCAGGCGACAGCGCGCTGTTTTTAATCCGAACTGTTGCTCGATCTGGAATCTCCCAGCAAAGCGCTCGCGGTGAAACCCAACCAAAGCCGATAGACCCACCAGATCGATCGCTCTTGTCTATTGGTTTCGCCCCTGAAATCGGCACAAGCCAATACAATCAACTTCATTCCCCACCGCCCCAGCTGGCTGGGTTTCTTTACGCGTTACAAATAAAAAGTCCTGAAATTGACGCGCGTTACGCACAGTGATGGCTGTTCAAGTCAGCCTTACTGAAAATGTCTTAACAGAAAAAAACCAGTTTGGTTTAATAGATGGAGAACTATGAATTGATCCGCCTCGCAGTATATAAAGTTTGAAACTCAGACGCTAACGAATCTCAGCCATTCAAATGCAAAACAATTTGCCTTTTTTTTGTCTGCCCAAAAAAGCTTTTGGAGATCCCCCCCATCCTAAAACTTTGCTGTGTTTTTTTTCACACCACTAAAATCAACTTGCTTCTAAAAAGAGGGGGAGGGAGCAAGAGATGAATTTTCTTCATTTGCTGATTCAGAGATTTCTCTTGATCTACAAAACATTTCTTTCAGCCCAAAAGAAGGGGGATGGTTATTTCTGAAGGCTTTTTCACAACTCAGGCATTACCTTTCATGACCTGATCTGGCTGCTGACGTGTTGGTTTATTTTATAAACGAAATCGCATTTCCCCCCTTACGCGGTGTGATTTTTTTTACAAAGTATATAATCTAAAAAATAAACAAAAGGAGCGATTTGGATGGCATTCGTTTTATTTATTTGGAAACATATTTCTGCATCAATCTACAAATTGGATTGGATTTTGAGCCATGAATTTGGATAATATTTTGACAGACAATTTCTCAAAACAAAAATTGCCGTTTGCGTCGTAAACATGTCAAAGGGAAAAAAAGAGGAACGGGGTGAAAATAGCTTTGGTGTGTCTCTCTGGGGAGACAACTGGATTTCAGACGGTCAAGGAGCGGGGCTGCCTTGGGTTAACAGGCTGCAGTCTCCCCGGGGCGGGCTGGCCCGTGTACGGTTTCTCTAGGTACATCGAAATGTTCCAGTTCTTCCCCTCGGAGGAACTTTTATTCCCAACATTTTTGTAGCATTTTAAATTAAAAGAAAAGTCGATCGAAACCCACAGCACCGGCTGGATGTCAGACAGCGAGGCGAGGCGAGGCGAGGCGAGGCGAGGACCCGAGAAGTTAGACGGGCGCGTTAGAGTGTCTGTCTGCCAACGTCAAAACGAGTCCGAAAACTAGAAACCCCGCTCAGGAGAGCCCGGGGACGGAATGGCCCTGTGCGCGCCGAGGAAGGAAAGTGGCGGTGTGAAAGGGGGGGAGGAAGGAGGGAAGAAGAGAGGGAGGGGAGGAGGAAGGAGGGATGAAGAGAGGGAGGGGGAAAGAAAGAAAGAAAGAAGAGAGAGAGAAGGAAGGAGGGAAGAAGAGAGGAGGGGAGGAGAAAGGACGGAAGAAGGCAGGAAGGAAGGAAGAAGAGAGGGAGGGGAGGAGGAAGGATGGAAGAAGAGAGAGAGAAGGAAGGATGGATGGAGAGAGGGAGGGTAGAAGGAAGGAGGGAAGAAGAGAGAGAGAAGGAAGGAGGGATGAAGAGAGGGAGGGGAGGAAGGAAGAAAGGAAGAAGAGAGGGAGGGGAGGAAGGAAGGAAGGAAGAAGAGAGGGAGGGGAGGAGGAAGGAGGGAGGGAGAGAGGGAGGGGAGGAGGAAGGAGGGAGGGAGAGAGGGAGGGGAGGAGGAAGGAGGGAGGGAGAGAGGGAGGGGAGGA